GATTACACTAAAGGAAAGAAATTTCAATGGATAGAGTAAGCTCATAAAAGCTTTGAGGAGCTTAAGAAGAAGTTGATCGAAGCTTCAGTCCTAACTCTTTCTAATTTTAACTAAGTGTTTGATGTTAGTTGTGATGCTTCTAATGCTGACATTGGTGCTATCTTAAGCCAGGAAGGCTATCCCATTGCCTTTTTTAGTGAGAAGCTCAAAAATGCCAAGTTTAAGTATTCTACCTATAACAAACAATTTTACGCCATTATTCGAGCTCTCTAACATTAGAGTCATTATCTTTTGAATAAATAGTTCATACTTTTCTCTGATTATGAGGCTCTTAAGTATTTGAATTCTTAGTAGAAGATCAACTGTAGACATGCCGATTGGAGTGAACTCTTGTAGTCTTATCCATTCCTTATCAAGCATAAGGCTAGAACTTTAAACTCCATAGTTGATGCTCTGAGCTGTTGACATGTGCTGCTCACAACATTACAAACTAAAGTTGTTAGATTTAATCTTATCAAAGAGTTGTACTAGGATTATCCTAATTTTTGAGGAGTGTGGAAAGCAACTGCAAATCAACTTTTCCATCAGTTCTACAGACACAATGGGTTTCTATTCTGAGGCAAAACCCTATGCATTTCACAGCATTCCTTGAGAGAAGCCATAATTTGGGAAGTATATGATAGTAGATTAGCTGGAGATTTCGAACAAGATAAAACAGTTGACCTAATGAAGGAGAACTTTTACTGGCCTCGACTTAAATGAAATGTCAATAGGCATATATAAAGATGCAAAATTTATCACTGGCTAAATCCAAGGGTTAGAATATTAGATTATACATGCCTTTGCCAATTTTAGAAGCATCTTGGGAAGATGAAACTATGGATTTTGTTCTGGGTTTACCATGGACTCAAAGGTAAAAAGATTCTATCATGGTAGTTATGGATTGTTTCTAAAAAATGGGCCATTTCATTCCATGCCAAAAGACCAACGATACTGTTCAAGTAGCAGACTTATACTTTAAGGAGATTGTGCATCTTCATTGCATTCCCAAGATTACCACTTCTAATCGTGATGTGAACTTTCTCAGCCACTTTTAGAGGACATTATAGAAGAAGATAGGAATTAAGCTCTCATTTAGCAATGCTAGTTATCCCCAGACAGATAGTCAAATTGAAGCAATAAACAGGATTCTTGGTGATCTTCTTCACAGTTTCGTGGGGAAGAATTTAAAGCAGTAGGATCTTGTTCTTGCTCAAGTTGAATGTGCCTACAATAACTCTATCAATCAAGCAACTAGGAAGTGTCCATTTGAAGTTGTTTATGGTACTCGTCCCCTTAGTCCGCTAGACTTGACCCCTTAACTTGATAAGCAATAATATAGCTTTGATGCTGACCAAAGGGCTAAGGAAATTAAGAAGTTATATGAGCAAGTTCGCGAACAAGTCTAAAAGCAGAATTTGAGATACAAGGCTTAACATGACAAGCATCGGAGATAGCAGACTTTTAAGGTAGGATACTTAGTTTGGATACATCTATGAACGGAACGATTTCCTAAACAGCCAAACGCCAAGTTATCCTCAAGAGCTGATGGTCCCTTTAAGATTGTATAAAAGATCAACAACAATGCTTATAAGGTGAAACTTCCTAGTTCCTATGGAGTGTCTACCACCTTCAATATTGCTAATCTATCTCTTTACATTAACGATGATGCTAAATTTGACTTAAAGGCAAATTTCTCCAACCCAGGGAGGATGGAATGGAACAATAGTGAAGAAATGGAAGAAACGTATGGAAGAGTAGAAAACTGTCATCCGTTGGGTCACTACCATTAACACAGATAATAAAACATTTGAAACTTTCCATTTATCTCCTTTGCTCTGTTTTAGACTAGAAAACAATATAAATAGCATAGTATTCTCATGTACTGGCATCTTAAATTGAAAACAATAAACAAGTGTCTATTTTCATTCAGTTTCTGTGCCACAGTCAAAGCACCAAGCACATCGCAAAATAAGAAAGAAGAAGAAGAAGAAGATGCGACTTGGAGTGTGATCCATGGCAACAATGATAGGTAAATAGAGCGAGCGCACCAAAGACAGTAAGAAAAGAATGGAGGAAGAGGTAGAATTGAGAATCAAAGACTCTCAAAGCTTTCACTTTGTTAGTCCCCACAAAGTAAGTCCTTATCCAAACATTAAGGATCAAGCTCTTGAAGAACAATCCAAGGACTTAAGTGATAATTTTCTAACGAGGGCTAAATTGGGAACTTTATTTTTGATATCTTATTTCCAAGGGTGAGTTAATATTAATTTAGCAAATTTATTTCTGATACCTAACTTATCTTCTTGTTTATGATTTTAATGTTAATTTTATCAGGAATTAGTAGATGTTGGTTGCCATTGAACCAGCTGATTAAAGTCCAAAAATATATTACCTCAATGCTCTCAATAGGAAACCAAGGAATCAAAATATGTTAGTGATTTTAATTAATAAGTAAGTAAATTAATTAAGTTGTTTTTATATATATATATATATATATTTGTGTTTCAAATTCCTAATACTATATATTTTTTGCCTTCTTTATCAGGGCAATCGTGGTGTATCACACAAAAAGCAAACAATCACTTTTAAGAGTTAAATCTTTCAACAAGTCCTTCACTTGGACAAAAACAAGGGTAATAAGTAGTTATTGATTTTAATTATTCATAATTAATTCATTAATATATAATTATTGGTTGTTTTTAGTGCCTGAGACAAAACCAAGGTAGTATGGATTGTGGCTATAGTCTAATGCGATTCACAAAAGAGATCATTGCTCATGGCCGATCCACAATTCTAGAAATGACGTATCATTATAAATGCTAATGAATAATTTAATTTATTTAATTTACACAAGTAACATTGTAGTCATTTCATAGTAATTTTATTGCGGTAATTTCATAGTTACTTATTGCATGTTGTTTCCTGTGTTGATAATTGGGGTTTCATCGTGCTGGATAGGTGTCTAGCCACAACGAATGAGAATATTATTGGTGTTGGCCATGCTAGATAGCTGATTAGCCTTATGGATTACATGTACATGTTGGCGGCAGTGGATGGGTATGTTATCTGTGGTGGGTTGACGTCTGTGTTACATGCCATGGCAGATGGATTTCTTGCCATAGCAGACATGCACATATTTACCTTAATTGTCTGTTTTACCCTATTGTGGAAATTTTCTTAATGCTATGTTAATTTTTCATGCATAATACTACACTCTGATTATTGAAAGGATTTATATTTATTAATTATTTTAAAACCTTTAAATGATTTTGGGATCCTAACTTCTTGATCTTCTTTTATGAATTAAATAAAATGGTTTAGCCATGGTTGATCCTATCAATTGAGGATGATCTGGGTTAGTTGTAATTAACCAAAGCTAATGATAGAGATCATTATAATATTGCTCCAACAAAAAGTTCAAAATACTATGTGCCCCCCGTGAAAAAGTTTTAGAGCATTTTTACCTTTCAACCCAATTAAAAAAAAAAAAAATCTAGGTTTAGTCTCACCACACGGGTCCCATGAGCTATATTCATGTTGGAAAATTCAACGTTTAGTGAAATTTAAGGGAGGAATGGGAGTCTATCAAAAGGGTAAATTTAAGGAAGAAATATGGTTAAGTCACACGCAAATACAGGCAAAACCAGCTGAGGATTTTAACAGGGGGTCAAAGTTAGGTTGCCAATCTTGAACAAGTGACCATGTATATATACATTATATATGTCTCATTTATATAGTATTTCTAACACATTTTATCGAAATTAAAAAAAATTTTAAAAACTTGTTAACTATTCTTAAATCCTTAATGAGTTTTTCCAACTTTTCCCCTTTTTAATATACATATTTTATTAATTTATTTTTACTCACTGATATTTACCCTACATTTGGATGAAGAGACAAATAGGAAAGAAATGATTTACTATTTTTGGGGAAAATTTTTTTTATAGTTTTCTCTCAATTTTGTTTTCATCTCACTTTTCCCTCTATCTTAATGGGTCTGAAAGAGAAAATTATAATAAAAAAAAATCATTGATATGTCTTATAAATAAATTAAAAGAAATGTGTAGGTCCTCTCTCAACACGGGTCCCACAAGCTCTAATCATGTTGGCAAATTCAACGTCTGGTGAAATTTAAGGGAGCAATGATAGTTAGCTATCAAAAGGATAAATTTAAGAGAGAATCACAATTAAGTCACATAAAACTAGAGGTGAAATTAGCTCACTAATTAAAGGGGGGGGGGGTGAAAGTTGAATTGCCCAACTTGAATAAGTGGCCATGTTTATATATACATTTTATTTGTCTTATTTATAAAGTATTTCGAATATCTTTTATTGGAATAAAAAAAACTTTAAATTTTATTAATTCCTCTCAAATACTTAATGAGTTTTTCAACTTTACCCCTATCTAATATATGTCCTTTTTTAACATTTTCTTCATCAATATTGACCTTTTATTTTGATGAAGAAAAAATATGGAAGAAATACGACTAGGAAGGAAAACTTTTAAAAATGGTAAAAAAAAAAAATTACTAGTTTTGAGAAAATTTTCTCCTAGTTTTCTCTCAACTTTTTTTTTTCTCACTTTTTCCTCAATCTTAATAGGGGTAAAAGAAAATTATGATAACTAGAGAATAATTTAGTATTTGGGTTAACTTAGATCATAACTTCAAAATCTAATTAGTTGCTCTTGAATTAAGTGGAAAGCCAATTCAACACTAATTAAAAATCCCTTAATATACTAGTAGGTAATTAGGACACCTTATGAATTAAAGGGAAATAAATAATTGAATTAAAGTATATGTCCATAATGACTTGTCATCTCTAATATCAACTTGTAATCCATTTAACTTGTTTGTAAATCAAATTGTAAATATTTTATAAATTTACAAAAAAATATTTTATATTAACAAGATAACATTCATATTTTTACAACACAAAAGGCCATTATCATGATGAGGTACTACCAACATTCAAAAAGGCATTCATGAAAATCAGGGGTATTTGACTTTTATCTCAAAACTCAATTTCATGCAGATCCTTAGGCCTTGCTGAGAAATTTCAAGTTCTATTAGGCTTTCTCTGCAGCTCTCTTCCTTCCAAAGGCCTTAGATGCTATTCTCCCTTATTTAAATGTCTAGCCCAAATAAATACATAAAAAAACTAATGACCCAATAAGAAAGACATGTGCCGTCATTTTAGCTTTTCCTGCATGATTAAATTGTGCTTACTTGGATTTTTCATGCACCCTAGTCACTTGGAAGCTCTTGCACCATTAAGTTGCCTCCTTCGTTTGCCACAGTAGAAATGACTTCACCTTTACTTTCCAAATTAGGTAAGTCACAAGGAAGAAGTGACTTTCCCAATATGAAAAGTGTTGTTGGGCTTGTTATTCGGTCTCCACCTCAAACACTTCCCTTATCGAAGATTGCAAAGCCTCTTTCAAAGGATCATAGGCTCTGAATTTTGGGTCTGAAGTGGGTTCTTGATTCCTATCATCATTCTTGACAAGAGTCCCAAAAATGTGTGAAGTTGCTAGTGGAATATAGTACTAAAGAGAGTCTAAGAAATTTCCCAGAAAAGAATCTAGCTCCTTATACCTCTGCTAGTTTCAAATGGGGAACAGTATTCATTGATTGAAGTTCATGAGAGATTTTAGACACAGATATGACAAATCAACAAACTGACAAGAGCAGGCAAAAGGTTAATAGATTAAAATCTTCATGGCAAATGAAGATTGTCCTGAGACACAAGACGATATATGGATATCTACTACTACTAAATAATGTATTGCCTCCTTTTCAAATGAGGCAATTTTTTAACAATTACTATGTTTAAATATATATATATATATATATGGCATTTTACAAATTTTAAAGAAAATAACTTTTTACCTAAAATATCACTAGTTGTACATTGAAATTAATTACTTATGTTTTATTACTATGGTCCATTCTCCATGTATTTTGCAACGTTTTTGAAAAAAAAAAAACTTAAAATATTTAGTACCTACTATTTTTCTTCGTGAGTACAAGTTGGGTAAAAGTGTCTTATATTTGGAATGGAAAAAATAGCAGCAAGGTTCAGAAGATTCAAAACTTTAGACATTCTTGTGGACAAACATATAATATACCTGGATCAAGAGCTTGCAAGCATATGGTAGTTTCATTGTAGAAATATAATCCCCATTTTTACAAAATGAACAAATTCCAGTTTTCATCAGCTTATGGTGATAATACCCCAAAATACTGAACCCACAGACACGAAGTTCCAAGTTGACACACCATTTCAAAAAAAAACTCATAATAAACTCAGGATGAGAACATAGTGGATTGAGGCGTCTAAGCGAAACCTATAACAAATTACACAATCTACAAAGCAATGCCATACTTCAAATTACAGAACACTTTCCGAGCAAAAAACTCGTAACAATTAAACTACTTTAGAGAAATACAAAGAAACAAAATTAACTTGTACAATACACAAAAGAATTATATAAACATGTGAGTCATTGAATTTGTTAGTGGTGTCAGCGATGAAGGGAAAAACTAAGGTAATATGAAAAATTTTCTGAAACTCAATATTAAACAAATATAAACTATATTTGGAGTAAAAATCTTATCATACAATTACAAGAGACTTGTTTGTCAACAAAGAGTTTGCCCACAATCTTACTGCCGGGTAACCTGACACTAACCCTTCATTTGGATAGGAAGAAAAATAGGGAAGAAGGAAAATTAGGAGAAAAAAACTCTTAAAAATAGTAAAATAATTTGTTTTTGGAAATTTCTCTTCCTAATTTTCTCTTCTACGTATTTTCTTCCCACTTTTCCTTCCATCCAAACCAAGCCTGAAACTCCTTACTTTTTTCTCAGATATACGATCCCCTGACGAGCAACAATAAAATCACAACCCCCTGTTCATAGTGTTTCACAGAATACACGTCAACACTTATTATCATCTACAGTCTAAACATCAAAACGCAGAATACCAAATATAATTCACATTACAAATCCAAAACCATCAAACTGAGACAAGTATTCTCGTACCTTCCATTTATACATAGAAAACTTCATAGTTAATTTTTGTGATAGAATTTAAAGCGTTTAGCAGAGGAGGGAAAGTTTGAGTTCTTTTTTTCGTACTTAATGCAAATATAGAATACTCAATTATAAGATTGATGCTTACAGAAAATACAGAAATCGATTAAAATAACAGATCAGAGATCGCCCGCCGGAAAGATTTTCACTTATAGGCAATGATATCAGCATATAGCTATTGCTTGTCAATTGACATCCATTATCAATAAAAATAGTTAGAAGTTTGATGAGCACAGAAAGCTTCCCCAACTCATAAGGATAACAGGCAACATGACAAATCTCTTAAATACTAGGAAAAATGCAATAGATCCCTACACTTTGATTGAACTTTGTTTTTAGTCCCAATAGTTTTATACTTTTATTTCGTTATTTTCAATTCCTTTAGTTTGATCAGTTTGCAATGTTAGTCCTCGTAGTTTTAAAAATACACATAAGATCCAAGAACAGGCACTGACATGTGAAACGTTCACATTCTTGGAGGATCTAATATCTTCGACATGCTAATGGCTCTTAAGTCTTAATCGATTTGTGAACACTACTGGAGTTGACTAGATTGTTACGAAATCATAAGTTGTGAACTGTGAACAGCAGTCACTGATAAAGACTGGTCAATAGAAGTTGGGAACATAACCAAAAACAAAAATAAAATTCTCATTTGAGATTTACTGGTAGAAGTTGAAATCAACACTTTGCTTTTCTCCTTCAAACATTTATCTCTGGAGACACTCCTCTTAAAAATGGTAGCAATTTCAGCATCCCTACTCAAGACTATGTTATTACTTATAATAATACATACAGTCACTGATGTCACATACATGAGTTTGCAAGTGCATCTTGAAATTAAAAAGGAAAAAAAAAAAAAATCTCAGCAGCAGCTTGTCTACTAAGCTATTATTCAAGTGATTATACAAATGAAATTATGTATACAGTGTATAACATCGCCAGCCAAAGAAAAACATGATTACAATTAGCTTAACGTCTGTAATAAATTGAAAATCTTACATTCACAGAACACATACCTCTTCGAAAAATTCTAGAACCCTTTAGGCCCAGATTCCCTCAAGACGACAGGCTTCTCCGCCATGGCAAGGCAATACTTGGCGATTTCTCTGAACTTGGGGACGCTTCTAAGGTCCACCTTAGTCCCATCCTTGAGAGTAATCACGACGTCACCCCACTCGCCGATGAATCTAGGTACCACTTGAACGTCCTTAATCACCTTATACGAGAAATCGCTTCGGTCTTGGCCCGTGAGACCCGAAATCACTGTGACCCGGAGATTCGTGAACCTGTACCTGAGATAGAACGCCCTAGAAACCGCCGCGAGGGTTAAGGGCAGCCATAAGAGAGTGAAACCTAGAAGCAGGTTGGCAAGTAGGTCGCCATAGTGGGCGCCGCCGTCGAAGAAGATGGTTTCTCCGGCGGGTTTTTTAGGGGCGGACGGAGTGGCTGCGGCGGACTTGTTGGTCGGAGAGGACACGTGGAGCCTTTCAAATCGCCGGAGAGATTTGGAGATGGGCTTGGAAGAGAATAGAGGGAAGAGAGAACGGGAAGAGGAAGGAAGAGATTGGTGGGTTACGGCGGCAGAGGAGGGTGAGAGTAGCGGAGTGGAAGCCATGCCTTATCCGTCAGAACTAAACAAAGTGTAGCCAAAATAGTGATGAGAGCAATAGATGTTGGTGGTTGGCCATGATTGAGCCACATGGCAGATTCTTGTCAACATCCTTTTTCATGGTGGTCTGCTGACAGGTAAGCAAGAAATGCCCATGCCCACATAGCCTCAACATTTCATGGTGTGCGGGTGGGTGAGTGTTCTAAATATATCCATTTTATGAAGGTATCATATGGTAAAGTAACAATCACTCCATTAAATCAAATGTTATAATAAATTTTATTATATACTATTTAAAAATTTTTTAATTTTAAATTTTTGGAAACAATAACATATATGGAGAGTGTTTTGACAATAAAGATTGTTTTAAATTTTTAAAAGAAAAAATATTTTAATAATTTTTAAGTATCAATAAAATGTAATGATTATAATTATTAAGATACTCAATATTTAGCTGCCAATCTTTCAAAAAATATATTCTCAACGTTGCAATCAAGCTCACACACATGCCTGCCAGCCCACAAAATGTCCTCTATTTTTTATAAATAATTTAATTGTGTGTAGATTAATAAAGATTTTGATTTGAATCAAATTCTTTATCTAGATAAAAGAAATTATGGATTGGGATTTAATTCAAATACATATCCATTTTTTATTATATTTCATTTATAATTTTAGATTCTCTCTATATCATATAAATTTTACATTCCAATTACTTTTAACCTCTCATTTTCTTCATATTTTTCATTATTGATGTTTTAGTATTCTTGTATCTTTTCTTATTTCTCATTCTCGTCTCCCATGAATTGAAAAACATGGATAAACTTATCACTTTTAATTTTTCTTGTTCATTTCTAATCTTAACTCATTTCTATTCTTCATTTGAAAATTTTTTAAACTACAAATAAAAGACTTTAAATGCATGAATTTTAAATGTAGGATTTAAAATTTAATAAAAATTAAATTCAAATTCACAATCCAAATGTATATTTAAAATAGGGGAAATTCATGTTACTGCAATGTTGCTAAAGTCATAAAAGTTATTATATTTTATGCAAGAGGTATCACAACCAAACCCCAAACAATAAATCAACAATCAAGATCAAATACATAATGCCATAGAAAGTCCTTGCCAAAGAAAAAATATCATTCAACAATTAAAAAGACAAAATATAGATTGATTATCCAAGAAAAAGAAGGCAACAAAAGGACTCATCTAAAAAAATTGGAAAAGCTCAGATTTCATCTTATCTTTCATGGCTTGGGGTTGTGAATCAGGACAATGAAGATAACATCTCAAATTCAAACCTAGATCTATCATATCTCAAATATCAGTGCTTAAACCTAAATCTATTGTCACACCCTTCTGAGTAGAACCCTTGTTTCTCCATCTTCATAAGATTTGTCTTCTTCGTCTTTGCACTTCTAAGTAAACTATCTTTTGTCGATAAACAACATGGTGCTCATCACCCTTGATGTGATCTAAACCATTCAAATTTAATTTTTTTATTTTTATTTTTATTTTATATCTATCAAAATACGAAGCGAGAATTGCCCAAAAAACCTCACCAGAAATTTATTTATTGAGAATGACTTGTAGTCAAATTTAAAAATTGGGTCCCTCTTTGGCATTAAATGAGACCCGCATAATGACTACTATGCCCTTTTGAGAATTGAAAAAAAAATGAAACACAAACGATCCTCAAGCATGCGATTGATTGCATATTCGATAAGGGTCATTGCATCTTGGTCAACTATGGTAGAGATGGCAACATTAGTGGTGGTCATTATAGGTGAAGTGGAGGAGTATTTAGATGAGTATGGCGGTGCATTAACAGTGGCATTGGAGGACCATCTTAGGACACAATGTTGGAAAATTTTTGTTGGCTTTGGTAAGTTTGCACTATTTATTCGAATAATCCTATTGCTTTTCAAATTTCTAAGTGACATTTCTTCTCCCATTTTAAATGCAGTAGGTTTGGTTAGTCTTTATCAAAGTACATAATGGTGAAGGGGAAAGAATTAGAGAAAGGGAAGTTTAAGGTGATTGACTTGTTTGCACAAGTTTAAGTAGGATTTTTGGGTGGGCAAGGAAGGTAAAAGGATCTTTAAGGGAATAGTAGAAGTAGATAAATGTACAAGGAAAGTCTAGAAGAATTTGTTTGAGAGAGAAAGGTGTGAGTATGGTAGGATTGCAAAGAAGAAAGAGAAAGGGTAGGAGGTATGTTTTCAACAAAAGAAGTGGACTTACTAATAAGGTGCTCCCTAAAACAATTTGTGAAAGTGGCAGTTCTTGTGATGAATACTCAACAATTAAAGTCTAGGGCAAATATAATTGGGTTTGTTAAGATTCTAGATGTTAAGTGCACCAAATTACACCATGCTTTATGTGCTAAAATTATTATAGTATTTGACCTAGCAACTTCATTAGTATTCATTAGAAATGTGAGCTTAGTGATAAATGAGATGTTAGTTAGAATGTTAATGGGATTGCCTTGTAAGGATTAGGAAGTTGTTAAAAGTGGCAATTGGTAACAATAACTTATATTTGGAGTTTAAAAAGAAGTATGATAGAAAGAGGTTTAGTGACGTGAAGAGCATGCTCATGTCAATTAAGCATGATGAAATGTTTGAGTCATTATTTGTACTTTTCACCCTTAGGATATTGTTGTGCCCTACTACATCAGGAATTGTCAAGCAACGGCTATTAAAGATGACATGTTGTGATAAAAGCACATTAGGTTCAAACAATTGGTCCAATCTTGTAGTGAAAAATTTGATGAAAGAGGTTGGAGATTATTAGGATGCTTTGAAAAGAGGAAAAATAGGGAAATATTTTAGTAAATGCCTTTATTTTTTTTATGGTAAGAATCTAAACTTGTGTATTTTAATTTAAAATTTATCTTGATTTAGTTAGTTAGTCATGTTAACTCATATATTTTCATGTAGATATTGTTGTTTGAAAAGAGTCAATTGCTTGGTATTGCACTACCATTACAAGGTTAGCCACTTATGTATTGAGATGATGAGAAAGTAAATGAGATAGTTTAGTTGGGGAAGTCCAATGTGCTCGAAACATAGGAGGTGATTTAAAGCCATCCAAAACCCTAGGAATCAAAACACTAAGTAAGACTACGGCTTGCTCAAACTAGCTCGTAGCCATTAGAGGTTGACAAGAAAGAAGTAGAGCCTTTAGATTGAGGCATTACCAAGAAGGATTATCATGGATCTTAACTTGCCTCTTCTAGGTGTGGTAGTGGCTTTGCTTCCTTTGAAAACAAGATCAAAAGAAGTAATGATAGAGAAAGGGGAAAAGTAATAAAGTGGTGGCGATGGTGGTGGTGTAGGAGGAGCAAAAGGAGGAGGAGGGAGGGAGGGAAAGGAAAGCAGAAGAGGGGCAGGAGGCATGAGAGGAAGATGAAGAAGAACCAAGAGCAAATATGCAGAAGAACCAACAGCAAATATGTAGCGAGAGATTGAGGGGAAGAGCTTCAAAGGTGCAGATAAGATAATAAAAAGAAAGTAAATATTAGATGGTTTATGAATTTCACTGTTAAACATAAAGTTTTAAATTTATTTTAATTTTTCCATGATAAATTTTTGACTGTTACTATATTTAAATGTTAAATATATTTATTTAAGATGGCACTTTTATAAATAACTATCAAATAAATACTTTCTCAATCTTAACCTAGAGTTATATGATGCTCTTTTATAATAACCATTAAATATTTATTTATATATTTGACACTTATTTTAAATAACTATCAAATATTCTTCATATCTATTTATTTGTTGCTTTTTTTAAATAAATGTCAAGTATGAAGCATCATATTTAACTAATTTTGTAGTAGTGTTTGCATTAAATTGTACTTGGTATGAATATCAATATGACTATCTTTACTGCCATTCTTTCTTTTCCTCTTTCCCTTGAATTGGACTTCTACCCATTTCTTCTATTCTTCATCAAGTATCAAATGCATCTTGTGCCATACTTTTTACCATTTAAACTATCAAGCTCAACCCTCTTAGCTTGTTCCAGATGATGAGTCCTTTGATCCCTTAAGATCAAAGAAATAATACTATCATATGGAGGATGATCTTTCTTCTCCTACCCTTTGATGACACTGTACATGCTACGACAGATAAAATCTACAAGGTTAATCTCTTCATCTTGTAGGATAAAGGTCATTTCTTGTCATTGCTCTTATAATGCATGGGCAAAACTGCCAAACTTGTTAAAGAAAAATCTTGAAAACTATGTATTGCGAGATTTTATTTTAGAAAGGCAGCTCTCATGGAACTATCTTATAGTCAAGAGTAGGGGGAATATCTCACATCAATATAGCCTAATATTCCTCCTTAGAATATGTCTTCATAGCAACATCCTCATCGTCGTTGTCTAGTTTAGTTAATTTCAACCCATCATCTCCACTTAATGAAAGCATTGTTTCAATCGATGTAGGATCAATATGAATATCATCATCGTCTTGGGTTAATGTTCATATCATCAAATTATGAAGATCCTTATATCTAGTCTTCCAGAATGCATCCAAGTTAAAAATTATCAGAATATCATAAGTTGTTATTCCCCATTTTCTTGCATATAACAAAAATCCAAATGTATATAGTAGAAGAGCAGCTATATATGATTGAAGACTATTGCATGTAGTCTTCCATAATGCATCCAACTTAAATTTTTTTAAGATATCTCATTTGGTTATTTGAATAAATAAAAGTTTTCTTACATATAATGGAAGTCCAAATGCATATCGTAGAAGTCTAAATAAATAGAAGGGCTTTATACACCCTAGTGTGTTGCCATGGGGTTCTCCAATCCTTTTTGTGAAGAAGAAGAATGGAAACCTACATTTATGTATTGACTATAAGTAACTGAACAAGGTGATTGTAAAGAATAAGTACCTGCTTCTGAGGATTGATGATTTATTGGATCAATTGGAAGGAGCATCGGTGTTTTTTTAAGATCAATTTGTGATCGGGTACCATCAATTGAGGGTAAATGTAGAAGA